CGCGAAAATGAACAGCCAAAAAAGTCCTAAACCGTCCTACCCGAACCTACTTGTAGATTCTACACTATCCTAGCCTAGGGCCTACCGGTACCGTTTCAGTTAGGGCCTACCGGTACCGTTTCAGTTAGGGCCTACTCGGCCTCTACGGAATCGGTCCTAGTGCTGCACTTAGGGCTCAAGGCCACTTAGGGTCGGTAACTACTCAACCCCTACTGCTGTTAATTCAGGCTATTTTTAGAACAACGGGCGACCCTCAGTGCGGACAAAAAAAACACAGCAAAGCACAGCAAACACCGCAGTACACTGTACAGCCTCGCAGTCGGTCTCGACAGTTGAAATCAGCAAGTCATTGCTGGCTTACCCCCCCGGGGAGCGAGGACCTCCGAGCTAGGGATGCAGACGAGGTGAACGGCGAGGAAGGTTGCCCTTCTGAGCCGCTTCATATCGTAAAACAACTGACTTTGCTATCTTGAGAAGTTCCCTTCTGTAGAACCATCTGTTCTCAAAAGGAGGCTGGAACGCGAACCTCACAAGATACTGCCGATCGGGGCCTGCGCCCCACTCATCCTCAATCCATTCCACGTCATACCCCTTGCTAGGGATCGGTGGACCAAATTGAGGAGGCCGGTCGGGGAATGCATCAGCGGGGGTGAATGGAAGCAACTTAGATGCATGGAAGACCGGGTAGGTTCGTAGATGCAGCGGGACGTCAATGACATAGGATGGACCGAATGGATCAGCGCCCACTGTATCTAAGACCTGCCATGGACCCAAGTAACGAGGCAACAGCTTGGGGGAGATATCCTCCTCCGTCGACAGCTCAGAACTGGCTACCCAGACATAATCACCAGTGCGGATGGGGGAAGGTTGCCTGTGGCGATTAGCTTGTTCAATCATTGCCTTTTGGGCTTTGAACAAGTTCGCCCGTGCTCTTTCCACATCTATGCGATAGCGTCTGGTAAACTCTGCGGTGCCTGGTGTCAGGTCTGACTTGGCCTTATCGATGATATCATCGAGAGGCTGTTGTGGTTCACGTCCCCAGTGCAACCGGTATGGACTGAACCCAGTCGAGGAGTGGACAGACATGTTATAAACAAGTTGTGCTCAAGCCAAGTGGAGATCCCAGTCCTGTTGATCTGGAGAGATGACAAGAGGCAGCAATTGGAATAAGACTTGGTTCATCACTTCAGCCTGACCATTGGCTTCAGGATGATGACCAAAAGTCATGTCCAATCGTGAGTGCAGGTAGTCCTTACAGTAGGACTGCCACTCATTGCTGCAAAATCGGGGGTCTCTATCACTGACTATAGAAGTGGGCGGTCCATGGTGTGTGACCCACCTCTCTGAGAAGGCTGCTTTCACAGCCGGGACTCTAGCTACCTCTGGCAAGGGGATGAACTTTGCGTATTTGGAGAACCTGTCCACACAGACTATAACCTGACGCATGCCACGAGGGGTGGTCTTGCCTAAATCTGTGAAATCAATCGACACAGATTCAGCAGGGCCATCAGGTATGGGTAGGGGTTTGAGTAACTTAGAGGAGGTCTACGCTAAACCTTGTTCCTCTAACAAAGCTCACAGGTTTCCACATAGCGCAGCATATCACTCCGCATCTCCTTCCAGAAGAAGCGCTGTGACAGGGCTGCATATGACTTTAGGAACCCAAAATGTCCACGGGCATCATGACACTCTGACATCAGCAGTGTCCTGAGCCGCTGGTCCTGGGGAATGCACAAGCGCTCCTCACCTCTGCTATAAGTATACAACAAGTCTAAATTCAGGGCATAGCCGGGTTCATAATTGGGATCCGCTTATAGATTCCTCACTATGGGCCCAAAAGTCGGATCTTGAGGCAGAAGACGAGCAATGGTCTGACGGGTCTCCCCTCCAAAGGAGTGAGTAGAGGAGATCAAAGCAAAAGAGTCAGGCCTACGAGAGAGGGCATCTGCTACTTTATTGTAGCAGCCCTTTTTATGTTTCAGTTCAAAGTCAAACATGTCTATGAACTGAATGTATCGTGCCAACTTATCATTTAACTCTCCCTGGGACTTCATCCACTGTAAGGTGGAGTGATCTGAGAAGATCTTGAAGTGTCTTCCCAGGAGAAAGTGCTTCCAATGTTTCAGGGCACAGACAAAAGCATACAACTCTTTCTCGTAGGTAGAGTCCTGAAGCTTCTGAGTCTTGATCTTCTTACTCATGAACTCCACTAACCTTAGACCATTCCCATCATCTTGTTGAAGAACTGCCCCAATGCCATACTGACGGGCGTCAGTGGTCAGGCTGAATGGCAAAGTGGGGTCAGGCAACTTCAGCACTGGTGCACGAGTCAAGACCTTCTTGAGTCGTGTGAAGGCCAACTGACAGGGAAGGGACCAAACAAATGGGGTGTCTTTCTTTGTTAGGTTGGTCAGGGATGCAACTACTGCAGAAAAGTTCCTGACAAACTTTCTGTAGTATGAGGCTAAACCCATGAAGGACCTGACATCCCTCACTGTCTGTGGTTGTGGCCACTCCTGAATAGCAGCTATCTTGGCTGCTTCAGGAGCCAAGCCATCACCAGAGATTACATGGCCCAGATAGATGACAGAGGGAACTCCAAAAGAGGACTTCTCTCTGTTAATCTTATACTGGCTGTCACATAATGACTGAAGGACAAGAGCCAAGTGCTCCGCATGTTCCCTCGCAATTCTGCTGAATACCAGGATGTCATCTAGATAGACAACCATGAACTTGTTCAAGTAAGGCTTGAAGATGCGGCGAATCTCTGTCTGGAAGGTACCTGGGGCGTTGCAAAGTCCAAATGGCATGACCAGGAACTCGTAAGTACCAACTGTCTTGTAAATATCCTCCTCTGCCATCTCAATCTGGTGGTAGCCAGATTTGAGGTCGACTTTGCTGAACACTGTGCAGCCCTACACCATATCCAAAAGGTCATCGATCCTAGGAAGTGGCTCTGTACTCTTCCTAGTGATCTTGTTGAGACCCCTGTAGTCGATACACATTCTGAATTCCCCATTCCCTTTCGGGACGAAGAGAACTGGTGCCCCAAATTCAGAAGTGATCGGCCGTATCCAGCCTTTGCTGGTCAGGGTCTCAAGTTGCTTTCTGAGTTCCTCAAGCTCAGCAGGGGACATCCTGTAAATGCGGCCCTTTGGAGGGACCGCTCCAGGTAGTAGCTCAATGTGATGCTTGGTTGGCCGGTTGGGTAACCCAAAGGGCTCCTGCATCAGATCAGCGTACTGGTCCACAACCTGCCGTATCTCAAAAGGACAGGAAACAGGAGGAGCGTTTGTCTGCTTGACCAGAGACAAGAACAGGCGCTCATGGTCATACTGGCGCGAGAGAGCATAGAACTCCCTCGCTCTCAAACAGTAGCAACTGGTTTTAGGGTGGTGTTCAACAACAATCATATATGGCTGGTACACCCCCTGTCTGTTAGGTAGCTCAACCTTTGGGATCTGCCAGTCGATCCTTGGGTTGACTGCCTTCAGCCATTGCATAGAGAACATCAGGTCAAAGTGTAGATCAGGGAATATGTAGAAGTTCAGACTATGCCTGACTTCTCCAACACTATTGAAGGTAACAGGGATACCCCTGCCCTTCTCCCTGATAGTGAGAACAGTGGAGTCACCTATCCTGACCAGCAAAGGTTGTTGCAACTGCTGAACTTTCATACCCAGATGCAGTTTCTTTACAGCACTGGGAGATATGAAGTTCCTGGTGGCTCCACAATCTAACAGCCCTTTGATCCTGATGTGGTTGATCAGGGGCCGAAGTAGGATGAGATCAGACTTGCTTTTCTTTTGTTCCTTCAGATGAAGGAAGAAAGCAGCAAGGGACTGAAGCTCATCCTGCCCTGGGTCCTGATCCGGGTCAGGATCCTCATAACAAAAGGATGCTGCCCGCGCAGTCCCCAAACACTCATGTACAGTCTCAACTGAAACAGCTGCAGATTCACCTACCTGAGCACATGAAGGTGCAACACTGGGTGGAACAACAGTCCCCAGGGTCTGTTTCAAATTTTTGACCATCCCGGCCTGGCATGTAAGGGTAGTCCTTTAAAAAGTGTTGTCCCTCACACCTCAGGCAGACCCCTCTTTCCTTTCTTCTTCTCCACACTCCCTCCTGGATCTTGAGGTCATGCCTGGAGGGAGTGGAGGGATTGAGAGGGTCAGCTGGCATACGGACGTCTTTAGGCAGATTAGGGCGCTAGGAGGAGGAAGGCCGACGTCCCTTGTCCTTCCCCTTTGCACTGGTTGAGGCTGTGGTGGGGGAGAATCTCTTCTGCTGCTGCATAACTCCCAGAACAGCCTGAGTCAGGGCCGCTGCAACATCTGTTTCAGCAGCTGATCCAGTCCCAGCTGATGGTGTATCAGTCAGGGAGTCTGAATCAAAAGTTGATGCAGACTCTGCATGTGCAAAGGCTGCCTTTCCCTTTCTACCACCACGAGGGAAGACACCTTTCCTCCTGTCAGAGGAGGGGGCCTGAACATGAAGTTTGACCTCCATGTCCAGGGCTGCGCGGCCAAAGGATCTTCAGTCCTTGTGCCCAACGCTGTATAGTGCAACAGAAAACTTCTCAGGGGTTGCCCTGCAGAAGTTTGTTAGTAGGTCATCTGCAGACATGACCAAATCAGGTGTGGAAGTTAATTGCTCGAACTCTGCAAACAACGATTGCAGGGAACCGCTGTAGCGTTGCTTCCCCAGGCGAGCAATCCTGTCAGCAGCTTTGCGGGACTGCTCCTTGTCTGCAAAGCGGTCTTCCAGAGCCCGCAGAAGACTGTCCACCCCCAATCCCAAAGCCCAATCCTCCATAGATTTCTGCAGACCGCTGGAGGTAGAGGTAGCCCACTTTTGTGCAGGCCCCTCTAGCAGTCCCAGAACTGTAGCCACCTTTGTTTGTTCTCGACATATGAAGCCCCTCAAGTAGGCGCTGATCCCTGCAGCCCAGTCCCCAACATCAGTCTTGGGGTCATCCCCTCTGAACTTGTTGGGGGCAGGGATCTTGGGACCTCTCTGATCCCCTGCAACAACAGCAGCAAAGGTGGGTTTGGCTGAGGCTTTTTGGGAAGGAGATGGTGAAGGGGAAGAATGACGCGAACCAGAGGGGGTTGAAGAGGGAGAAAAGGAAGGCTTTACTGAGAGAGGAGGAGACTGAGGAGCAATCAGTTTGGCGGTTGTCAGCTGAGCAGTCAGATTCTGAATTGCATCCAATATCTTGGACTGCTGAGCTGCCAGGTCGTCCACCTTGTGTTCCAAGCGACCGATGCGATCATCCCAGTTAGTGAAATAAGAACTGGTGGCCTTGTGCTCCGGAAGAGCCCACTCTGCCAGGTTCTTATTCACCTGGGAGCAGTTGCCGTCTGTCAGGACCTTGTTTAGCTGCTCCAACAGGTACTCCCTGCGAGAAATATTTGTTGCAGCCTCTAGCTCAGCTGCCTCCTGTCTCTCCAATTCTGCAAGCAGGGCCTGCTCCTGCTGCAATTTCTCCTGTAGCTCCTTCTTCTGTTGAGTAGTAGTCGAAGGAGTAGTAGGGGTAGAGGTAGATGGTTCTTGCCCTTCTACCTTCATCACCACTTCTACCTGTGGCTGCTGCTGAGCACCCTGTTCCGCCATTTTCCACTTTCAAAACAACAATAATTAATGGACAAGCAGAGGAGTATGCAGCGATTTTCAATTTCCTGCAGACACTCAGAAATCGCTGCTGCCTCAGACACAGAGGTAGGTGGGTGAATAGGCAACAACGGTTTGGGGTAGAATGGTTCCCCTGGGGTCAGGTGTCAGACAGACTGATAGTCCAGTAAAATCCTTCACACGATTTCCTTTTACTGACCCTGCACCACACTGGAGTTAGTAGACACAATCCACTACTCTTCCAGAGAAACACTAAATCAGAGCCCACTAGAAAACAAGAGTAGTCAGTGAGAATAACATAACATGGCAAGTACAGACAAGAAGGGTCAAATAAGCAGAGCGATTCAGTTAGGGACCCTAAATCCTAACTCAGACTCCAATTTTAGCCCTGATGACTCTGGCGGCCATACCCTGGGGTATGGCGAAGTACAGTATTCACTGTTTCCAGTGAACTACTGCAAATCCATACAAGCGCTTCTGCAGTATTGCCTATTTTGGGATTGTGATTGACTGACAACTGACATAATTGAATTCTGACGGACAAAATTGAAGTTATGACTGACCCGAGGTAGCACAGGCTATAATTAGACCCAGCGCAAAACAACAATTCACAGTATCACTACTTTTCCAGTGCAGAATTCACAGTCTGAGCATCCCAAATCAAGCGCAATACAGTAAGGCAGTCACATAACAATTTTGGATGCAAAAGAGTCAACAAAGGGATTAAAATGAGCAGATAAAGGTAGGGGGAGATGGCTATGGCTGTCATGCAGTCTGCGATTTTCACATCCAGTCACTGACAGACAGATAGACCATAATTACTGACTAATCTAATCCTATTTGAATCGCTATACAGGTAGGTGCATGGAACGGACTCACTTTCAGAGTTCCTGGCAGAGCTTGATGAAGATCTGGCTATGGCAGACTGAAACCCTCATCTCGCCAGTTTCTTCCAAAGCTTCCTCCTCTCTGTCCCACGCACAAAACCACTTCAAACTTGTTGATCTTCTTCCGTATCCTGAAGCGCTGCAACCCCTTCTGCCAGATTCCCTGAATCTGACCCTGTGGCACTCAGAAGCCAACAGAGAGTTATCTCGCCACAGGTCCCCTCAGCCACTGATGCTATAAATAGCCCCAGATGGGGTTATTTCCACCTGAGCTTGACACCGACTATCAATCTCCCTCAGCGCTGCTCAGGGATGAAGCCGCTCAGTGATCCCTGAAGTCCTCAGGGGTAATTTGCCACTCCGAGGCACTTCGCTGTCCTGCCCTCAGGGTTGGCTATGGCGAATTAGCCTTGTTCTCGCCACTTCTTGACAAGCGCCCTGACAGGCTCAGTGCGCTTGCTCAGTACAAACACTGAACTCCGGATTTCGCAGCTTGAAATCTTCTTCCCTGCTGACTCAGTACTGGGGAAGATGAATCGCCATGAACCTCTCGCCAGTATATCACCAGATGAAGAAGATGCCTCAGTTGCACTCAACCCTCAATGCTCCAATTCCAATCCTGCTCTGATACCAACTGTTATGAACTTGATTGTCTGACGATTTTTACCGCCACTCACACACAGACAGTCTCATACACGCCCATACATGCATAAGAGAAGGGGGAGAGGAGACAAAGTCCACCCTGCACACAGATCAGAGTAGACAACGAAAGTTCAACCATGCACAGATGGGGATAAGACACTCAGTGTTTCTCACTCTCTGACAGACTCCCAACAACCAATCACAAGAAGAACCTGTGAGGATAACAATTGGAATACACACTGATGAAGACCCAATTAAACCAGATATCGTTACAGAGTTTGCCACACTCAGAACCCCACACTCCACTCTCTACCCTACACCCAGTTAGTAGCGCATAACCGAAACAGCCACCCAGAGGTCAGCGCCAACCACCCAGATGAAT